CGCAATCGACGTCATCATCATCATCATCATCATCATCATCATCATCAACATCAACATCATCAACATCATCATCATCATCATCATCATCATCATCGCCATCATCAGCATCATCATCATTACCATCATCATCATCATCACCATCATCATCATCATAATCATAATCATCATCATCATCATCATCATCATCAACATCATGATCGGGACAGCGACGGGACACCGACGGGACATCGGCGGGACACCGGCGGGACACCGCGCGCCACCGGCCGCCCGGTGGAGAATCATTTGGTCCGGCCGCGCCTCAGCATTTGGTCCGGCCGCGCCTCAGCCACAGAGGACACCACCGGGACACCGGCGGGACACCGCGCGCCACCGGCCGCCCGGTGGAGAATCATTTGGTCCGACCGCGCCTCAGCCACAGGAGACTTTCCTCTCGCCCGCCCATGCAGCTTCGCCTCGCTCGCACGCACGGCACGCACGAACACGAAACCGAAATCGATTTCCCGGTAGGGGGGCTCTCCGTTCCACTTCGATCTCACCCCCTCACCTCCGATTATTAGCTTAGCTTAGGTTCATCTTAGCTCAGGTTTATCTTAGCTAACTTAACTTCATCTTAGCTTCGCTGAGCTTTAGCATAGCATAGCACAGCACAGCATAGCGTAGCATAGCGCAGCATCGCATATCATAGCATAACCCAGCATAGCATAGCATAGCGCAGCATAGCATAGCTTAGCATAGCACAGCATAGCGCAGCACAGCATAGCACATCATGACATAGTATAGCTTAACATAGCATAGCATAGCGCAGCATAGCATAGCATAGCATAGCATAGCGCAGCATAGCATGCCATGCCATGGCATGGCATAGCAACTAATGCTGCTTTCCTAGGGGCTCCAACTTCTAGGTAGGGTCGCACTGGGGTAATTCTTGGTTCTCTCTATAGATGCAACTACGAATATTACCACGCATCTGTGACGCATTATAGAATCGATTACCCGCAACCGTACCTGTGGGGCGTGGGTGTGTCATTCTGCTTCTCCGTTGTCCGGAACTTTTTTTTTGTTTATTACTGTCGCCCAGTGCTGGCCCCCCCACTGGCCGCACGCGTGGCTCGAACATCGGCCTCTCTGGAGTTGCTCTCCGGCCCTCTTGCCGGCATTCGGGCGACCAAGACGGCCTCCAACCTGATCCAGTTTCCAAGACAGCCGAGATGTCACCAAGGTTCGGCGGCGAGCTGGGGGGGGGAAGTGAGAAGGAGAAAGCCTTGTCAGAAGGCTCGGAAGTCCCCTGGCCTTCTGAGAAGTTTTCTGAGCCTTCCCCGAAGACGCGGGAAACCTCTTAGAAGGCGCGAGAGCTCCTGAGAAATCGCCCCGCCTTCTGAGAAGGCCTTCCCCTTCTCACTTCCCCCCCCCGCTCGCCGCCGAAAGATGGCCCAACACAACTCAAAAGGCCCCCAAAACGGCCCTGAACGAACGAACGAACGAAGCAACCGCCGCCGGGAAGCTGGTGTCACTGGAAGGGAGGCTTGCGCGCTAGTCGCGCGCAGGCCTTCTACGAAGGCCACTCGATGTGGGATCGGCCAAACAACAAATCAAATCTGAAACGTCTTCAGGGCCGTCTTGTTTCGGCCCCAAACGGCCGAAACAAGACGGCCCTGAAGAGGGCCCCAAAGCAGGCCAATAGGACCCCACGATCGCCCAAGAGTCTGCCAAACTGTTCAACGACTTTGAGGTTCTCGCCTGTTTGGATTTCCGGCCGCCCAAGACGGCCAAGAGGCCGGCGCGATCACTCCTGGACAGCCCGTGCGGCCCCCGAAGAGGGCCCCGCGTCGGCCCGAGAAGACCACACGATCGTCCAAGAGCCTCCCGAGAAGGCCCCGACCCGGCCCTGAGGGCTGCCACCGAGGCGGCCCAGATGCGCCCTCGAGGCGGCCGCCGAAGGCGTCAGACGGGCGAACAGCCCCAGACGTCCCGAGAGGCCTCGAGGGGACCCAAGATGCCCCCGAGGAGGCGACGCACACATTGACTCCCCCACGGGTCTTCAAGGGTTCTGGAGTTCTCGTCTGTTTGGGCTTCCGACCGCCCAGCATGGCCCGAGATGCCCCCAATCACGCTCCAAGGCAGCCGACGAGGCTCCCAAATAGGGTCTCAAGTCGGCCTAAGATGACCCACGCTCGTCCAAGAGTCCCCAAACAGGGCCCCAAGACCGCCCTAAGACGCTCCAAGAGGGCACCGCCTCCGAAGGCGTCAGACGGGCCACGAGCGCCAGACCCCCCCAAGAAGTCCCAATGAGCCCCACGAGGCCTCCAGCAGGCTCCCAGGAAGCCCCCAGAGAGCCCCAAAGAGGCCTTCTCCTCCCTGTCCTCATTTTCTCCCTCCTCCTCCCTACCGCGCGGACGAGGATGAGGTGGAGTTCCCTCCCCGCCGCAATTCAGACCGCTCGCTGAACTGCAACGGGGCGTGAAATCGACTTCCCCCGACCGCGCGGACGCAGACGAGGTCGAGTTCACGACCCGTCCCAGTTCTGACCGCTTGTCAGAACTGCGCTGTTCCTGCACTGAGCCTCCTTCATGCTGCGCTGTTGCACAAACACAGTGGCGGGGTTTGTCGCAGGCAGTCGGATCGTATGTGTATATGCACATAGATGTATGTACATATATGTATATGTGTGTATTTATAGATACAGATCTACGTACACACTTGTATACTTGCATGCACATGTTTATCCACACGTATGGGTATGTACACCGTTCTGATACAGCCTAAAATGTACAGACATGTATCTGTGTGCGACATGTCTGCCTCTTGAGGCAACCATCGACCCAGGAGGAACACCAGTTGGGAATCCATGTCAAGCAAATGTCAGTGTCCAGTGGGGAAGGAAGGGGAGCTTTTGGGAGGTTTGGAATTCAAGGTTGTTGGTTTATAACATGCTGTTGTAGGTTCTGGGGGGCTGCGAGGGGTTCTAGAAGCTAGGAGGTGGAATCCAGAACAGAGAGTTGCGAGGTGGAATGCAGAACCGAGAGTTGCAGGAAGCATGATGAGAGGTCGAGGAGGGGAAGGGGAACGACGAGGACGTCAGATGAAGCGAACGGAGGACTAAGAGCAGGGGGAGAGGAACATGGGGGAGGAGCCGACGGCCTTGACCCCGAGCACTTGCAGGTAGATGTCCTGTCCGTCCCACGCGGCCTCGTTGGTCTTGGCCAGAGCGTCGAACACTTGCTGGGCCTTTTCGGACACGCCGACCCCGTATCTCTTCACCCGCTCGCGCTCCTCCAGCGGGCGTTCCACAACGGGAGCGGCGGCCAGGGCCGTGGCTCTCATCAGACCTCTGCCCTGCAGGCGTCCTCAACTGAATCTTCGTTTCGGCAACCCGTTTGAGAACTGTCGCATCCAGAACTGCGGTTTGTACAACCGCTTGGGAAATTCTTGGGCGCTGTGTGCCACGACGTGGCTTACACAACGGTTGAAATTTCATTAAAAACAGAATATCATCAACCAATCGGTCCTGCGCGTATTCGAATATACACGCGCCTTCCGCTAAAATGCATCGGGCTCAGCACGCCTCATCCTCCACCTCCTTTCTTTCGCAACCCTGGAGCGCGCTGCGCTGGGCCAACAATCACATAGCGGTGGTCAAACATCAATTCGTCTCGCAACGCTTGTTGGTGTGAAAGTCGGACAACCGATTGTGGAAGTACAAAAAGGCGTCATCGAATGCGATGGTTTCTGCCGTAAGAATCGCCACCTGCGTTAGAAGAAGACCTCCTCGCATCGCTACGGTAAACGTGTGCTTATTCAGGTCATGTTCCGAAGCTGCTAACAAAATCCAGGTAGCGCCATAGCACGACTTCCCACGAGTTCAACTCCTCTTGCCCTCCTCCCTCTTCCATCTTGCCTCCCTCCTGCCTCCCCCTGATCCCTCCCGCCCCTCTGATCGTTCATTCCCCCACCCGCCTCCGAGGTGACGGGGGAGGAGGAAGAAAGGCGAAGGAGAAGGCATGGAGAGGGAGGAGGAGGAGGAGGAGGAGGAGGAGGAGGAGGAGGAGGAGGAGGAGAAGGAGGAGGAGGAGGAGGAGGAGAAGAAGGGGGAGTATATACGAATCCGATGCTTGATGCTCCCGCCACCTTCACACTCACTCTTCCCCTCGCGGGCTTGGTGATTCTGGGCAGGGAGCCGGTGGCAAATCAGTGCCTGCTCGCCCGGAGATGGAGGACGGAGAGTGGAGGAGGGGAGAGGTGGAGCGAACGTCGCCCATGCGAGCGACGACTCCTGCACTACCATGGCGACTGCGTGCGTGTTATACTCGGGCGTTCTGTGCACGAGGGTGGCGAAGCACACCGAGCAGAAGAGCGATGACCTGCCAAACTTGCGACACCGCACCGACCCATGCAGGATGCAGCGTGCCCGACTCCCGTGCGCTCCGCAGGGTGGCATGCAGAGCGCCGGCCAGGCAACACCACACCGACCACTTGCCAGCGCTCGGACGTCCATTCCCTGTGCATCTTGCGGCGTCGTGCGCTTATGTTTCGCGCGATGGTCCAGGGAGCTCCTCGATGGCCCTCGCTGAGAAAACATACACACGTCCGAGCGATGCCAAGACACTACACCGACTATGCGATTCTGCCCGTGGCGCCACGGACATCGCACGGGCGCCAGGGAGTTCTGGGGAACTGCACGGATGCGCGCCCTCGTCGGCCGTCCTCCGACTCGAAGCTTCAAGCCTCGCCAGCGACCCCCCTGGGGGCCCTGCCAGGTGCTCCGAAGACTTCTCGAGATCGGCCAGCACTCTGCCATCGCGGCAAGCAAGCGCGGCAACTGGAGCTCTCCTCCTCCTCCTCCTCCTCCTCCTCCTCCTCCTCCTCCTCCTCCTCTCCTCCTCCTCCTCCTCTTTCCTCCTCCTCCTCCTCCCTCCCTCCCTCCCTCCTCCTCCTCCTCCTCCCTCCCTCCTCGTCCTCTCTTCCCTCCTCCTCCCTTCCCTCCTCCTCCTCCTCCATTCCCTCCTCCTCCTCCTCCCTTCCCTCCTCCTCCCTTCCCTCCTCCTCCTCCTCCTCCTCCTCCTCCTCCTCCCTCCTCCCTCCTCCAGTGCCCAACGATGGCAGCCGCTTCAGGCCCGCGATGGGCACGGTGCCTCGCGGGCCAGGCGGTCAGGCCCCCGCGGGAGGTGGACAGGACACGCGAGAGGACAGAAGACCCTCCCGAGGGTCACATTGTCATACTGGCCATCGCTCGGACGTCCATTCACTGTGTTTTTTTCGGTTTCGTGCGTGGCTTTTTCGCCAAATGATCAAGGATGCTCCTCGATGACCATCGCCTAGGAAAACTGCACACGTCCGAGCGATGCCAAGGACACGCGAGAGGACACAAGACGCTCCCGAGGGTCACATTGCCATAGGAATGCAAGAGGCACGGGTCGCGAGACACAAAACACAAAGGTACCCTTGATTTGGCAGGGTCGACCTGCTAATCAGGGCCGCCTGGACGTTTTTGTTTCTTCCCTTCTTCTTTGTTTTTTTGCATTGCAACTCTGCCGTTCCAACTCCAGCTCTGGATTCCGCGTGCGAGGCGGGAGCGGTTCGGGGAGGGCCAGAAAGGGGTCTGAAGCCCACGGCGCCAACCACCATGATCCGAATCATACTTCTTTTCTTAGGCACCGCGTTTTTTTTGCATTGCAGCTCTTTTTTGCGTTGCAGCTGTTAATGTCGTCGTCGCCGTTGTTGTTGTGGTTGTGGTTGTTGTTGTGGTTGTTGTTGCATTGCAATGTTTTGCATTGCAATTGGTGTTGTGTAGCAGCTTTGCCGTTCGAGCGTCAGCTTTGGATTCCGCGTGCGAGACGAGAGCGGTTTGGGGCGCTCTTGGGGTCGTCTTGGGGCCTTTCTTTTCTGCCATATTAGGGCCCTCTTGAGCTTACAAAAGCCCGTCGGAAGCGACAAGGCGAGAAAACAACCATCATTGATTTAATGGAATCGTTTCGCTCATTCCGCCAGCCCGTATTGTGCCATCGCTGGCATTTGGGGGTCCCCTAGGGGCCTCTTGGGGGCCTCTTGGGGATCTCTTGGGGCCTTTTGGGAACCTCTTGGGGGTCTCTTGGGGGCTTCTTGGAGCCTCTTGGGCGCCGCTTGGGGTCAAGGGCTCGAAATGTCCGTTCGGGTTCCCCGTCTGGGCCCCCTCTTGGGGCCGTCCTGGAGCCATCTTGGGCCGTCTTGGAAGCCTCTTGGGCCGTCTTGGGCGCTCTTGGGGTGGTCTTGGGCGCTCTTGGGGCCGTCTTGGGCGCTCTTGGGGCCGTCTTGGGCCTCTCTTGGACCCCTGTTGGGGGGTCCTTGGGTTCATACCGGAGCTATCTCGAGGCTTCAGCAGCCCATCGGAAGCGAAAAGGCGAGAAGGCAAACACACACATTGATTGTTATTAGGTGTTGGACGGTAGTTGGCCTCTCCAGAGCGTTCTTGGGAGGCCCTTTGGCCACTCAGAGCCGTCTTGGAAGGACCTTGAAGCCTCGTAGAGGTATGTTGCAAGCCATGTTTGGCCATGTTGGGCTATCTTCGGGGATCTTGGAGGCCATCTGTAGATTTTTGGGACCTTCTTGGAGCCATCTTGGGCTATCTTGGACGCTCTGACCGCTCGCGAAAGGCCCCGTCCAGGTCCAGGGGGAAAGAGGAAGAAAGGGGTTGGAAGAGGGGGGTATCAAAACCACTCACGCCCGAGAAGGACTGGTGTGATTTTAGCCCCCTCCCCCCCTCTGGGAACGTCACAATCGCCTCTTGGGGCCCTCTGGGGCCCCTCTTGGTCGCTTCTCGGTAGCCTCTTGGGGCATCTCTTGGCAGTCCCGGGGGTTTCTTGGAGCATCTGGGCTGCCTCTGGGGGGGAGTCGCTCTTGAGGCCTCTCGAAGGCCTCTTTGAGACCGCTTGGGAGTATTTGGACGCGTCTTGGGAGTTTTCTTGGAGCCCCCTTAGAAGCCCAGGGGGCCCTCTTGGGACCATGAAAGAAATAGAAGGAGAAACAAATAGAGAGCCCAGAGAAGGAGAAAAAGTAGAGAAGAGCGTCGGCTGCCATACCAATTCTTCTGTCCCAGACCAAAATAAAGAGCTGGGGCACAAGAACTTTTTCGCTTCGAGCGGCTTAGAATACGGACATGCTCGCCGCTCCTCCTTGCCGTGCTGAACAAAACGATGGCCCTCTTGTCTTGAATCGATTCCGGGCCAAGGCTACGCGCAGATCGATCCCACTTCCAGTGGCGCCATTGGCTGCATCCACATCCTTCCGGATCCTGTCCTGGCATGAGCACGCGATCGGGAAGACGCCGTGCGCGTCGCGTGGCGCACTTCCCCCCCTTCCCCGACTCCATTAACGTTGAGGCGCGGGCGCGAAACTCTGGAGGACTCTGGAGTGTCGGCGTCGAGCCGGAGGGAGAGGAGGAAGAGAAGGAGGAGGAGGAAGAGGAAGAGGAGGAAGAGGAGGAGTAGGAGGAGGAGGAGGAGGAGGAGGAGGAGGAGGAGGAGGAGGGGGAGGAGGAGGAGGAGAGGAGGAGGAGGAGGGGAGGAGGAGGAGAAGGAGGAAGCAGAGGCGGAGGAGGAGGGAGGGGGGAGGAGGAGAGGGAGGAGGGAGGAGGGGAGGAGGAGGGAGGAGAGGAGGGGGAGGAGGGAGGAGGGCGGAGGGAGGAGGCAGGAGGAGGGAGGAGGAGGGAGGAGTTCAGGAGTTCCAGGCCGAAGTCCATGCATCTCCCATGGGGACCCCTTTATGGGCCCCAGCCTTACGCATGAGCTCGGCCTCACTAAAAACCTTAGGGAATAGCCCCCGCTCAAGACGATTCAAATACTCGGCACGGGTGGGGGTGACCTGATTCGTGCACCCCTTCCCCAGGCCCAGAAGTTGCTGATCCCCATACATACCACAGCACGCGCAGAATCATATATTCAGGGTCTGATGCAACCGCATTGTGTGGGAGGGGGCGACCCACCCCCCAGAAATGTGTACTTTCGCGCCCCCAGGAAGCCCACAAAACACGTCATCCAACATCACAGGGTTGAAACAAATAGACTGCCCCCAGGCTCGCGTCAGAGAAATCGAAGCGGATCCACGGCAACGACGAAACCGACGACCAGTCTCGTCGAGCTGGTGGCTGGATCCGAAAAACGAGATCACACTGACAACCGGCGGCGGCGGCACCAAGACGGGAGGGGGGGGGGGGCCCAAAACCAGGAGGGATGGCGGCTCCTTCAACCCGCCTCTCGCCACTAGGTCCACGCCGACCACTCCTACCCCCCACGTCTATG